ACATAACCATGAAATTGGGCTTAAGCATTTAAGGCCCAAAAATTCTCTCTTCCCTCTCCATTCTCGGCCCAAGCCCAACCAAGGAAGAAGAGTTGACTTTTTTCATTGCCACCTCATTTTTGTTTAATGGTTCTCCATGCAAATCCCATACACCCAAGTAAACATCTCATCAATCCCCTCTCTTCCTCTCCCTCTCTTTTCTTCGGCCGAGAAACACACAAACACTCACAACAAAATTCCCTCTAAACCACTCAAGAATCATCCACTCTCCTTCATCCAAAATCTCGAAAATTTGGCTTGAAGTCTAAGGATTTTTATCAAGTAAATCATCATTCAAGGTAAGCTGATGTTAAATCTATGATCTAACTCACTTCATTTCATCAAAAATCTCTTCTAAATCCATTCAATCTTGTGATCTTGCACCTTAGAAGCTCTTTAAGTTCAAGATCTTCCAAGAAAGGTTGCTAGGACCGAAAATAACAACAAACTCTTCTCTTTTCTTCTTTAAATCGAAAACAACAAGCAAAGGTGAGTTTTATACCCTTTCTTTTCGGTTTTTATGAGTTTTATGGGGGAGAATACAAGAAAATGTGTAGATCTATGTGTAAATGTATGTTATGTGTGTTTTGATGCATGTGTGTGTGTGTGTGATATCATGTGTTTTGTGATGAATATGTTATCAAAAAGTGTGTAAAACCGAGATCTAAGACATGAGAAAGGAAATAAACATAACTTAAGCTATTGTACACTAATCAAGTCAAGAAAAATAGTTTATAAGGTTAGGATGAACACACTTGAACATAAAACCCATCTTTGGGCTTAAATTGTCAAAAATATAAACTTGGGGTAAAAATCAACAAGTCACTGTTTCTTGAAGGTTAAATGGGGCCAAAATAATCTCCATAAATATTTTTCTGATTTTTAGAAAATTCTAAGGACTTAAAATGTAAATTTTTAACCTAATTGGCTAACTATGGGCTTCTCGACCCAATAAGCCTCAAAATGCGAAATTTTACAAGTTGAGGGGCTGGAAACGTAACTTTCTATAAAACAGCGGGTATTTAGCATAACAAAATGTTTATAAGGGTCAAAAATGCTTTTCATTATCAACAAGGACCAAAAATGCAAACTTTTTAGATTTTGGGCTAAAACTGTAAAAGTTGTGAAAAATGAGTCCTTAACCAAGAATCACTATTCTAGAGGGGCTGAAGCTGCCAACTAAGTAAACTGTGGGTTAAAAATCGTGTTTTCATCAAATAAATTATACAAAAGTGTCAAGAAAAGTATTTGAAGGACTAAAAATGAAACTCTTTTATATAAAAGGACCAATAGTGTTATTTTTATAAAAGGAGGGTAATGAAAAGGATCAAACTCCATTTTCAAACAAATTAAGTCATAAATACAAAATACAAGATCCACGACTACCGACGAAACAGAAAGACAAATACATTCTCAACAACAAATATCGTTACAAAATGAATTGATTCGGTATCGAATCAATAACAAAACAAAATCATAAAACCAAAGCATTTTAATAAACACGCGATAATTATGATGAGTCAACTTACAAACTTTAGGCTTGGAAGTCTCAAATTATGCTTATTGGACCTTGCTAGCCCAATAACATGATCTTTGGGCCCGAAGGGAATACGCTTATGTGTTATTGAGCCTCCTATGACCCAATTCCATGTAAAAAGACTTTCAATAGCTCTAATGTGCTATTGGGCCCTAGTGGCCCATTAGTACTGCTAGTAAGGTCGAGAAGTTAAATGCGAGTTGGGCCAAGTGTCTTTCGCATTCCCAATAGCCTTGAATAACTCATGGAAATAAAGGGGGCTTCGTACCCTCCTTTCTCCTTGGTTGTTGGGCTCATGAGAAATCAAAGTAAACAGATTCAGGACGATAAACAATAGTAATCAGGGTGGGTGGATTAAGTGAGTAGTAACGGCCAACGCCTTTAAGGATCGTTCGTAAATTGTAGTTATAAACTAGCCATTTTCTAAATGCGTGATTATAACAACTCACAAACCCTAATTAATCCAACGCCACCCGGGTAATCAAAAACATTCAACGTATCGGTATAACAATAAACAAGCCATGTATTTTAGGTTTTGGGAAAACATCGGGTTTTTCCTGGGAAGTTCAACATTTTCACTTTTATGATGAATACAAAGTTCAACAATTATACATGTTTTGAAAATCAACAAGAATATTTACGGATCTTCACACTTTTTATAAACAAATACTCTTTTCATAAAATATCGGATTTTCTGCGTTTACGAACTAGACCAAATCATTTTACCACAACATTACTTATGAGCTCACCAACATTTCATATGTTGACGTTTTTTTCAAAATAACTTGTATTCTCAGGTAACAGGTAAGTTGAAGGATAAGTAACAAGTAATGTCATGGTGTTTTGCTTAGGTTATCTGTCAGACAGTTATGTTATGAAATTGTAATGTCTAAAACAATGTACAGAATGTAAACAATACCAGTTGTAATATTTCAATGCATGGTGATGTATTATGTTATGATTCATGTATATTCATTGTAATGGTATTCAATTTAAGTCATAAGAGCCTTCGGACGTTTCCGCCGTCTGGTTCGGGGGTATGACAGGACACTCCAACCGTTCACTCGATTACAGTCAAGGATCTTGAATGGAGTACGGTCGTACACGCTTCAACTAAGCTCAATCGTACACATTGCATTTAACCATACACACCAAAAGCACTTGAATTTTCGAGTAAGTTTTGATTCTAAGCCTTTGAATGTTGATCAGAAGCAGAAACTCAATAGGTAATCTCGAATTAGTCTAAAAAATGATGAAGTTTTCTGCCCGTACACACACGAAGATCCGATTTGACACTGATTTTGCTTTGATACCAATTGTAAGTCTCAATTTCAATGATCCAAACCAGTGATCAAACAGATAGCAATCAATCAGAATAAGAATGGAGTAGAGGAAAGATTAAACCAAGCATGCACACGTTAATATCACAAAAACATCAGGTACACCTTGGCTATACACATCGTCACCCTAAAACTGACACAGACACACTCTATTTATAGGACCACCAGTTGTACACGCGTGTACAGTCATACACCCATGTACGGCCGTACACAGGGTGTACGGCCGTACACATGGGTTCGGTCGTACATAGCCACACAACAAGATACAAACACCATTACAAAGCAGAAAAATACAGTTGCCTAGAAAAGCAAAGTATAAACCATAATTTTAGACCAAACAAGTTAGACCCATCTGTATGTGGAGTCGGGCCAATTGATTAGGAAGGGATAGGCCCATTATTATGGGTTGGGCCCAATGTGAGGGCTAGGCCCAAGGATATGTATGGTGTGAGGTATTTTGGAGGAATTCTTTAAGCTTTATGCTTACGGTTTCATGTTTATGGTTTTAGGTACTTCTGGTACGAGAGGGAAGGGTCTGTCGTGGCTGCACAACATCCCCCCTGAGTTTATTCCACATTGATAACTTTTGTTGTGATGTTTAAGTACTATTTTTCATCTTGAATGCTTTTGGGAACAAAATGTTATATGGATTATTGTTTTAAAAATAAAAATTTTACCTTGGATTTTCGGGACATTACATGAGACAAAGATCCTTTTAGGTTGCATGTGTCATTCTTAATAGTTAAATGATTTTCGCAGTGTGCATATTGTTGTAACTTGAAAATTCCATCAGAAACGACCCTTTGCTCTCATGATACTCTCTTTGTCGAATTCTTTAAAAGAAACCCAAATTTGTTTGATTTGCTTTATATACTTCTACTTAATAATTTGTTTATATTTAAAAAAAATAGAGTAATTGTAATCATCATTAACTTTAGAGGTGTTCACTGAATTTGCATCTCACAAAGTTTATGAATTTTTTGAGCCTAAACCTAAATAAATAAATAAAAATTAGTTAACCGGTCTTTTATCAACTAGTATTTTTGACTCATCAAGTTAACCAAATAACAATATCCTAATTATAAATATAATTCCATGTTAACAACCTCCACAAAATTTTCCAAAATACAACCGATGATGTTTGTTTACAATAATATAATTGATAATACAATTGATGATATCCATTTACAATAAGGTTAAAACGTCTAACCTTGTTTTTCAGGTGTTATTACAATTTTTTTTACCTGTATTGTTATTAAAGTTTTTTTTTTTCAGGTCTCATTTTTACACTACAAAAGAAATTTAGTTTATGCACACAATACACATATACCTTCCCTTAACTATATAGATCACTCCTGTATTGAACATATAGGTGATGATTATGATTTAGTTATTTGTAAGTTGGTTGATATGAGTAAACTTAAATTTGAACAATTGAAATGAATTAACCAAAAAAAAAAAAAATACCTAGTCAAATGGATTTTGTACCAATATAGATTTTGTAACAATATATAACATATTAATCATAATATAAAACTATAAAAATAGATTTAAAAAAAGTTTGTGGAAATGTTTCGTTTTTATGTTATCCGATTCATCGACCCATCCATATTGGCACCTAACTAAACATTATGCAAGTCAAATAACCACTTAAACACAAATTATAAATAAAGAATCTGAATAGAGGTGTTTTGTTGTTGTCATAACTTTTACATATAAAAATCATTGGTGAGCAGGTATTTTTGTGAAAGGGTGAGTAAGAAAGATGATGGGAAATAGGAAACATTTTTCTAACTTGAAACATCATATTGTTTGCCATAAGAATGAGAACATCTATAAAAGGTGACTCGTAACATCACAAAAATGATAAGTGTAGAGAATCAAAAGAATATGTACACACAAACTGACACTTCTTTTGGTGAGTCATCATTCTTGAAAAGCTTTAGGTGAACTGGGGTCAATTCGCAAATATGGTTTCAATTCTTGTGCCAATTGTCAAGTTATTAGAAGTTGGAGGGTGGGTTGTTAAACTTAAGTGAGAATAATAATATCCGCTCTCTGTTTATAAGTCTAGTCTTGAAGCTCACTTATTACACAGATTTTACTCCTTTCCTTTTCTTTCTGTGTGTGTATAAAAGTTCAATTCTTTTAGTATCTTTTCTAAATTGGAAGAAAAGTTAATGCTGAAAAGTGAAAAAACATTCAATTTTTCCCCTCATTTCATCGATGTCGTTTGATATTAGTTAAATTCTTTGAAACTGTTGATCGGAAGATCCAAGAAGATATCTCTTTTCAATTTAAAATTCTTGAATTTAAATGGAGGGGTTCTTGAATTGTGTAGTTTTTCATGTGGGTATTGATCTTTTGAATGTCAATCTTATAAATTTGGTTCAAATTTGTTGAAATTTGAAGAAACATTAGGTCTCTATCAGGTTAGGATTTTTTTAAGTAATTGGGGGAAAGAGAATGGGATTGGAGAGTCTGCTTATTCTAACAGTAGATCCACCAATAAAACGGCGAGCAGGGCTACGGAGAAAACAGGCAGGGAGAGGCTCTTACAGGGGGAGCTAGGCGTAAATTAGGGTTTAACTTTTTTTGGGGGTGTGAAAGTTCATAATTCATTAGGTTGGTGGTGTAATTACAGTAGGAATTGTTTAGATTTTTTCCGAAAGAAGATGGGGGTTAGTGCATTACATCAAGCTCTGAAGAATTTCTGTCTTAACACCGACTGGAATTATGCTGTTTTTTGGAAATTGAATCCTCAAGCTCGAATGTAAGATCATTTTACTTCTACATGTTCGTTAATCACTTATTGTATCTATCAAATATGTTATCGTCAACGAGGTCTGTTTCTTGATCTTCGTTATCTCAAAACCATCTAATTAAATTATTCTGTGAATCGTCATTGGGATCATAAATATGAATCAATTTTTATGTTTTTTGAAGTGGAATCGATGGTATTTCTATGGATCGTAGATATTAATTTGTTTACGTGCCATTTCTTTTTGAATTAATTAGTACACGACTTAATCTTAACAAAGTAAGTCAAAAACTTTTTCCATTTTCTAGACATTTATCTATCTAGACAACATTGATTTTAGTTATTCGTTTATTTTGGGTCAAAATATTCAGATCTGGAGAAGCATGTAAAGAAGTTTTTGCTTTAATAAAACTGATTATTGAGATAGATGTGAAATTACCTAACTATCCATGAATGGCTATACTACCTTAGGATGTTCACAATTGCCTGTGATATGAACTTCTTGTAGGATGTTGACTTGTGAAGATGCTTATTATGACAAAAATGATCCTTCAGGGAGCAAAAAACCGTTTGATACAATGATTGGAAATTTGCATGAACAAGACCTTCTTGACCTAGCAGTGGCAAAGATGTCTTTTCACAGATATTCTCTCGGGGAAGGGTATACATACCACATTACCACTACACTAAAAATGTTTTTTTTTTTTTTTTCATTTAAAAATCTTTATGACAAAAAATTCTCATGATACTTTTTATTTTATAGAATCATTGGGCAGGTTGCAGTTACAGATAAACATCTATGGGTTTCTGGTGATCAGCTTGTTAGTGATCCCAGCTTGTCCTTTGAGGTAAGAAATAGCATTCTACTTTTAATTTCTATTATTAGAATATTGTAAATTTGTAAAATATATTCAACTATAGAAAGTGAAAATTGCTTTCTATGTTTGGATGACATGGCTATAATTGGATATATCTTTCAAAATGTAATGTTGTATTTAACCGATTTATATTGCAATTTGGTGTTTTTCAGGATTATGATGGATGGAAAACTCAGCTGCAAGCTGGGATTAGGGTATGTATGGCCTTTACAAAAAGTAGCATCTAATTTTTGTTTTTCTTTTTTTCTATTACAATGAAAAATAAAAAATCTACCCAATTATAGCATTCCACTTTTAGTTTTTTCAAACAATGAAAATTGCTTTGTATTTAAAAAAAAAAATTGCTATAATTGGGTAGATTAACAAATATATGAAACTATGTTGATATTTCTTGCAATGATTCATGATTTGTGAAATAAATTGATCTCTTCTTGATATGCAGACGATTGTTGTTGTGGGTGTTATTCCTCATGGAGTCGTACAACTTGGCTCATTAAAGAATGTAAGAACAATTTTTTTTTTCTTTTCTATTCATTAAATAATTATTTGATTTGATTGAAGTTAGGTAATTTATACATTTGTCTAAAATCAACAGATTCCTGAGGATTTGAAAATGGTGAATGACATCCGAGAGATCTTTCTTGAGTTACAAACTTCTTTAACCGGATGCATACCTAGCACTACTAGTTCATATAACGATACAATTACTTCCGTAAACTTCGGAATCAACAAATCCTACACAATATCCAATCCCGATCGAAACCCGGAATCAGGAATTCCCGTTCCGTCAAATTTCCAAACGCTAATGAACTCCAGAAACACAGATTCCCAAACCGAAACCAACACCATGAATACATCTTTCAATTTCCCAGCCGGATGCGAGTTATACGAAGCACTAGGACCCGCATTTTTTAACCAAAATGAAAATTACAATAGTCAAACGGTCAATGAGATGCCTGGAATCGGAATGAGAAATACCGATCATTTGACACCCAACTCGGGTTCCGAACATCTTCTAGAAGCGGTTGTGGCCAATGTTTGTCAAAGCGATAGTGAGTTTAGTAACTCGGTGAAATGGGTCGACCCGCGGTTCAATGACATGCAAACGAGCGGTTCGGGTTGTTATTCGTTTGAGACTTACGGTTCTTCATTAGGGTTCTCATCGGCTAGTCATAGTAGGTGTAGTGAACCATTAGAACAATCACAAGAACGGGTGCATGTTAGCAAGAAACGGGCTAAACCGGGTGAGGGTAGTAGGCCCAGGCCCAGAGATAGACAGCTTATTCAAGATCGTATTAAGGAACTTCGTGAGCTCGTGCCTAATGGAGCTAAGGTAACTTCCTCCCTACATAATATTTTATTTTATGTTCTTTTTTGTTACATGTTACATGGGACTGAACAGATGTTACTGCGTTTGACATGCATTGGACTGGGACTGAGATTGACATTTGATGTCGATGGGACATAAATTACAGTCTCTGTCATATCCAAAAAGGTAGAACAAGGTGGGACAGGGACTCCGCTCTCAATCTCTCGTTTGTGCAAAAGACGTAAATACCCTTATCCTTCTCAGCATTGAAAATAGCCCTAAGAAGCTTTTCCGGTCCTGTCCCGTGTAGTTACACGGGACTGGATGGGGACCGGTTATCTAGGGCTATTTTCGGTGATGTGGATGACGAGGGTATTTACGTCTTTTGCACAGACGAGAGATTGAGAGCGGTTTCCCTATCCCACCTTGTTCTATCTTTTTGGATAGGACAAAGAGACTGTAATTTATGTCCCATCGACATCAAATGTCAGTCTCAGTCCGATGCATGTCAAATGCAGTACAAGACTGTTTTGTTGTGTCGTGTACTGTGTAACAAGCGGGGCCCGGATGTACTGAAAAGGGGTAGTTATGATTTATGACACAGTGCAGCATTGATTCACTTCTGGAAAGAACAATCAAGCACATGCTCTTCATGCAATGTGTTACGAAGCATGCTGACAAAATCGATAAATATGCCGAATCTAAGGTAATGCTTTGCTCTTTGGATAAATATTTGACCAAGACTTTCTCTATTAAGTCAAGTTGTTCTTTCTGTATTAAGTCAAAACGAATTTTTTCAGTTGCTAGGAAAGGAAGCAGGCATACGAGGTCCATCAAGTCATGAACAGGGTTCAAGTTGGGCAATGGAGGTTGGGGATCAGATGAAAGTTTGTCCGGTAACAGTAGAAAACATTGGTACAAACGGCCAAATGCTGGTGGAGGTATGGCGGTGAAAATCCTTTTTTTTTTTTTTGAGAAATAAACTAAAAATTTTCATTCGATCAAATGCGCAGATGATGTGTGAAGAAGGCGTCCATTTTCTTGAGATAGCAGATGCCATTAGGAGTTTGGGTCTCACTATTTTGAAAGGAGTTACAGAACCCGAATGTGATAAAACCCGGATGTGTTTTCTTGTCGAGGTATTGTTGCTATTATGTGTATAAAAATAAATAAATAAATAAATAAATAAATAAAGTTTGTTTGTATTTGCTATTTTAATGCGTTGATTGCATGTTTTCAGGGAGAGAATAACAGAAATGTTCATCGGATGGATATACTTTGGTTACTTGTTCAGATATTACAATCGAAGACACAAACTTAAACTTAGCTGGATTGTTTTTTTTTTTTTTTTTCTCATGTCGTGTTGTAATTTAGCTCCTTTTTTTAAAAAAAAATTGATGCAAAAATAATATGTATTGCCTTTAAGTTTAGGTTTTTTGTGTCTTTGGGGGGAAAAAAAACTATGCATGTATGTATAGTCATCGACATGTAACGAGCAATTGTATAGGCTTATATCGGGGATTGTAAACTACAAAGCTATGTTGTCTTTTATATGATCAAGTTTTAACCTTTTGGCATGAACACAAGTCTAGATGTTCTTGAATGTATAAGAAAAATGATAAAGTGTGTTTGGTATTCAACTTCAATAACTTGAAATGAACCTTAATTCAAGATTGAAACTCTTTGATTGTAAAGAATTAAAACCTTAGAATGGATATAATCATAAACAAAAAACCTCGACTATACGTCATAAAATGAAAAGAAGCAATTAGTGAATGTTACATCAAAATTAATTGTTAAAGACTTGATCAAATGATACTAACTAATCAATCAGAAACAAAAAAAAAAGTTTATTCTTTGTCTAGTTGAATTGGTTATTTCGATTGTGTTTATTTTGAAAACATATTTCATGTTCGTATTGTATAATTTTAAACAATATCTTAATCCTTGTGTCGTTCTTGTATGTTTGTACAAGATACACTTGTCTCTGTATTGTATTTTTTTTTAAAAGCAAAAGCATCATCATCTTCTAAGTCTTCGTCTTCATCGGACATAGTGATATTGATAATAATACCATATGAACAAAGATTTGATGTGTCACCTTATTGCGTCTTTCACCCACTAAATTACTCTTTATAAAACGTGTTGGTCTTAATTCTGAATTGCGGCTTCAAGTGGAACCTATTATTACACTTTATAAGGTTGTGTTTAAATGCAAGTTAATCCACTACCTCGAAAAGTCGATATCAAGATCAAGATCAAGATCGTCCACTAAATTCTCAATGAAACACTTCAAATTTTGAATTTCTTCCAAACAGCACCTTTTAGTTCCCTTAGTTGTGTTTGTTGATTAGAAATTCTCTTTCAAAATGTTTATTAATCTATTCATATGAGATGAGAGTAGTGATGTATTTATGTATGAATAATATATGTATGAAAGATTTAAACTATCCATGTAACTATGTATAAATTGCAAATCTATTTTATATATGTATATCTATGTTATATGTATGTATGTATGGATCCATTTGACGCTAGCAAGAAAAAATGAACACTTTAATTTAAAAACAAAATCTTTGAAGGGATTTTAATCTATTAAAAGTCAAAATAGGAAAATGTGGAAAGAGCTATTGGTTGGATATACAGCTCTGATTAAACATGTCTTTCCTCCCATGGAAACCATGTATGCTTCAATGGAATCGAAATCTAAATGCACGGGTATTTTTCATGTGTTTATTTGAGAGGAAATAGAATGGGATTAAATCTCCATATAATCATAGGAAATATTTTTCTGATTGTTCATCAGCTAGAAACATCTCCATGCTTCAATTTTGGAAAACTGGTTGACACATTTAAAGAGATAATAAACGGTTTAATCAGCACTAAATTGAACTAGCTACAAAGCTTTCAATTCCGAACATTGATCAGTGACGCTTGATTGAAACTATATTTATACTTTGCAGTGAGGTTCCATTTAAAATCAATTGAAAAAAGAGGTTAACATTGATCGGTATTTAAGATGAGTGACAAATCAAACTCAACAACTCATATATAAGTCATATTAATGAATTGTTCCTTAAATCGGTTCGGTGTGCATACATTTTGTGTTGTATCTATTTGAAAAGATACCTCATATATATTTTTTTTTAATAATGCTCTATTGGTTTATGTTTGCTCTAAGAACCATGAATCTGATATGGTGAGGCTTGATTGAAACTATATTTCATACTTTGCAGTGAGGTTCTAGAAGGTTATCATCGCTTTATTTTTCTTTTATTGTGAAAATTAAGTTAAATTGAGGTCGATCATAGACAAAGAATTGACAAATGTTTGTAATAGTGCTTTGGCAATTTATAAACCATATGAACATCTTGTAGATTCAACATACCTACTTACATCTAGTGTTTTGGGTATATATCATCTTAGACATTGATGATCGACTACAATAAACTTATATATTCTAATTATGTTTTTTTTACCACTGATAATGATACCATATGTTCCACAGTTGTTGGCTGTTATGTATATAGTATTTTCATAAGATAATGGATTTCTGAAGATCGTTGTTTGAAGATTTTTTCCATCAAGCATCAATTTGGACGTGGTTTAATAATATGATGATGTTCTCTCATGTTAGAAAACAGAAAGACCACACCGACATTGTAAGTATTTTTTTAATTAATATTTTTTCTTAATGTAATTATTCAACAATCATGTTAGCTGTGTTATTCTTTAACATGATCATTGAATAATTTCATTAAGAAAAATTATTAATTTGCAATATACTTACAATATCCTCTGATCTTTCTTCTTTCTAGCATGAGAGAAGAACCATATTATTAAGAGTAAATTACTGAAATCGTCCATGTGATTTGGTCAAAATTGCACGTTTGGTTCATAACTTTTTTTTTTTGCATTTGGATCGTCCATGTGGTTTGATTTTGTTGCTTTTTTCATCTCTACGGTTTGGTCAAAATTGCACGTTGGTCCCTAACTTTAATAAAGGACGAAAAAAACAACAAAATCAAACCACAGGGACGATCCAAGTGCAAAAAAAAAAGTTAGGGACCAAACATGCAATTTTGATCAAACCATAAGGATGATTGCAGTGATTATGGTAAAAGTTAGTTGTAGTCGATCATCAATTTCCAAGATGACATATACCAGAAGCACTGATGTAAGTAGGTATGTCGATCATCAATGTCTAAGATGACATATATCCAAAGCACTAAATGTAAGTAGATATGTTAAGCCCACAAGATAGTCAATATAGTTTATAAGTAACCTAAGCATAATTACAAACTTATGTTAATTTTCACAATAAAAAAAATAATAAGATAATAATCTTCTGAAAGCTTTAATCAAAAGCTTCACCCTATCATATTCATGGTTTTTAGAAAATCATACAAATAGAGCACTATTAAAAAAAGACAAAACTGCAAAATTGATCCCTTACTATTTAAAAAATAAAAAAATAGAAAAATAAATCTCTCTCTCTCTCTCTCTCTCTCTCTCTCTCTCTCTCTCTCTCTCTCTCTCTCTCTCTCTCTCTCTCTCTCTCTCAATTCATAGAGAACTTCCTCAAGAACACACAATCACAAAATTATACATACACAAAGAAAATTAAACACACACAGTGAAAAAACCAATCGTTCCAAACAAATCGTCATTCCCATCTCTCATCTCTATGTTCTTCGATCCTTCTTCCACAATTCCCTTTGCTTCAAGGAATTGAAGGCATTAAATCCAAGCATTACATGAAATTGGAGGTTTTAAAGCATATGAAATTAAAACCCAGTCCCTTTTGTCTTGTTTCTTGGTTTGATTTCTGAAGAAAAAAAAACTAACCAGAGAAATTAAGAAGAATATATTAGAGGGAGATAAAGACAGTGGTGGTGAACATGATATTTAAAAATAGAAAGATGCGATGGAGATGAACCAATGATGAAGTGATGAAATCCGAATTTATAGATGTTGAAATCTCGATTTACTAGAAAATCCCCACCTTCAAGAACCAAACTTTTGTTCTCTCCAAAGATCAAACACAAACACCCTACCTTTGAATCTAGGGCTTCACTGGTTCGCTGGATGTCGAAAATGCTTGGAGTCGTGGATTGAATCGACCATTACAAAATATTATCCAGATGACAGATGAGGACAAATCAGAGAGTGTGTGATCCAACTTCATATTCTATAAGTTGTGGCATCCAAGGGCTAATTGGATGAGTCCAAACCGTATTTCTTGAAAAAGGGATTGGTTTGGGATGGAAAGCTCGAGGATGATCGAAGATCTCATTTTTAGACGGTCATGTTGGATTGCGGACCAGACGTGGCGGCGACGACGGGTGAAGACGGTGTCATGACCAAGGTTTTAGTGGATTGTGGTGGTGTCATTGGGTTGTGGGATGAGTATACAAGAGAGAGAACATAATTTTTTTTTCATTAATATTCACAACTTAAAAAATGCAAAAAGAAATTAAAAAGGCATAACAATCTATTCAAGTATTCCATGGACCAAAAATACAAAAAATTCTTAATTTTAAGACCAAAATCATAAAAAAAATCTTGATTTTCTATACAAGTGGGATCTTATCCATATTCTTTCAAATACCATAACTCCATATTCTTTCAAATGACCAATTTTATAGTTTTGTTTGAACAAATAAACACAATGCATAATATATGCGTGCAAAACAGTACGGGTGATTCATAAGATGACTTATATATGAATTATTGAATTTGATTTGTATCTCATCTTAAAAACTAATCAGTGTAAACTTTTTTTAATTGATTTTAGTAATTAGAAGGCCCAGATTTACAATATCTGCTTTGTAGCCTCCACGATTTGTTATTTTCCTTTACATGCTTTTCTCATATGTGGGTTTAAACTTTAAACAAAATATATGAATTTACTAATAATCAAATAACTTCAATTTCTTTTGTTCTAATGTGGGTTTAAGACGGCAACAAATTTGTTGTTTCAAGGATACCTAATATGGGCATTGTTAGTTGTTAGAAATTTTGTTTAGAATTCATATTATTTGATAATTATAAAGTTATGTCGCTCATTTTGTATGAAGGATCATTTTGTATGAAGGACGAAAACCAGATCAAGAACTCCAAAACTGTAATCAATCAAAATACTAAATCAAGAAAGATCAGATAGAGCTAATACATTGTTGCCATCATATTGACAGTCAAACCAATAGGGAAAACAATTTCCATCATCAAGTCAATCTTGAACAAAAACAATTCAAAGAAAAAATAATTATCATCAAAATTAAAATTCATTAAAATGCAGAAAACGCCATAAACATAATTTCAATCTTTGTGTGTTTTTATAAATACGGGTTTATTCTGAAAAATCAGACAACAAATACTTGATTTTCCAATACTAACGACCAAATTAATTCAAATCTAAAAAATCACATTACTTAACAAAAACGA